GGGGCCACCGGGCACCGCTCGGGGCTTGGGGGCACCCCCGCATCTGGCACCCGCCGTCTGCTTCGGGGCACCCTTCGCTGCTTGCACCCGCCATCTGCTTCGGGGCATCCCCTCGCCCCACCGCAGCTCGTGTCGCTTTAACGGCCCAGCTGGCACCTCTGCCTGCTTAATTGGCAGAGGTTAATTAGGAGCCAGGGCTACGGCCGCTTCTTCTCTCCCGGCCGGGCCGCGGGGCTGAGCTCCCGCGGGGGGATGCGGGCCGGGCTCGCCGGCAGCCGTGGGTGAGGCCGAGGCACCCCGGGGTCCCCGGAGCGGCATCGGGTGTGCGGTGAGTGGGCTCGGGGGTCCCCAGGCCGGGGAAAGCCCTGGGCAAGGGGGAGCGCGCAGGGGCTGGGGTGCCATCGCCCCACAGCGAGGGAGCTGGCTGGGGACTGTCCCTTCAGTTTGGGGTGAGCCCTGAATGGGCATTGGGGTGGCTGCTGTACCCCGGGGGTTTGCGCTTCCCCTCCCGTGCCCCTGCTGCTTGCTGTCCTTCAGTGAAGCCGGGGCAGCGGGCTGTAGGAGAGGCAAATCTGGGCCGCTCCAGGGAGCTCCTCCCGTGTCCCCTCTCTGGGTGCTGTGGCCCCGACCTCCCAGGGCAGCCCCAAACCAGCCGGCCAGGGAGCCCTTCGCTGCGGGCTGAGTCCTTGGAGGCCGGGACAGCCAAGAGCCATGGGCGCTGTGGGCTGGGTGCTGCTGGGGGAGGTGAATCCCTGCGCTGCCTCTTCTCCCCCAGCCCCATGTTTCTGCACTGGGCAGTGGGGCATAGGAGGAGCACTCCTGGGCTCAGAAATCCTGCCTGGCTCCCTCCCCCGGGTGCGGGATGTTCCTCAGTGGGTTTGCTGGGACCCTCTGCAGAGCAGCCGTGTCCTGAGAAAGCCTGGGTTTGGGTAGCCCTGTCTGTCCTGTGCTTTCCAGCGTGGAAACAGAGGATTGACTTGGCTCCCCTCCCCTCTCTGCTGGCAGAGGCACGAGGCTCCCTAGAAGATGGGTGACTGGGGTTTCCTGGAGAAACTTCTGGACCAAGTCCAGGAGCACTCGACCGTGATCGGGAAGATCTGGCTCACCGTGCTCTTCATCTTCCGCATCCTCATTCTGGGCTTGGCCGGGGAATCCGTGTGGGGGGACGAGCAGTCGGATTTCGTGTGCAATACCAAGCAGCCAGGCTGCACCAACGTCTGCTATGATAAAGCCTTCCCCATCTCCCATATCCGTTACTGGGTGCTCCAGTTCCTCTTTGTCAGCACCCCAACCCTGATTTACCTCGGCCACGTTGTCTATCTCTCCCGGAGGGAGGAGAAGCTGAAGCAACAGGAGAGCGAGCTTCGGGCTATCCACAGCAAGGACCCGAAGATTGAGCAGGCTCTGGCAGCTGTGGAGAAGAAGATGTCCAAGATCTACATGACGGAGGACGGGCGGCTCAAGATTCGAGGGGCGCTGATGTGGACGTACATCATCAGTGTGATTTGCAAGAGCATCTTTGAGGCTGGCTTCCTCGTTGGCCAGTGGTACCTGTACGGCTTCTCCATGGTGCCCCGCTATGTGTGCAAGAGGGACCCCTGCCCCCATCAGGTGGACTGCTTCATCTCCCGCCCCACTGAGAAGAGCATCTTCATCATCTTCATGCTGGTGATGGGCCTGATCTCCTTAATCCTGAACCTCCTGGAGCTTTTCCACCTCTGCTGCAAGAACCTGATTAGCAACATCAAGAAGGTGTCAGTGCCAGCTGGCCCGAGCCGGGACGCCTTTGCCGACGACATGGTCTCGGGTCCCTACCCGCCCAAGCACTACCCCTTCCTGCCCATGGCTGAGAGCCACACGCCGCCCTACCAGGCCTACAACAAGCTCTCCAGCGAGCAGAACTGGGCCAACTTCCACAACGAGGAGAACCTGGCACTGAGCAGCGGCAACAGGCCCCTGTCGGACCCCTATGCCCCCAGGGCTGCTGAAGCTCCCGCCCTGGAGGAGAAGCTGTGCAGCCGGCCTGGGAGCTCAGCCTCCAAAAAGCAGTATGTCTAGTGCCGGGCTGGCCCCGGCCGGCCGGGGGGACCTCCCTCAGTCCCTCCTGCCTGCAAAGGTGCTGGCCGCGGGCAGGCAGCTGCCTCCTGCCTGGTGCTGTGCCTTATGGACAGGCTCCCCCTCCGGAGGCTGTGCCCGCGGAGACCTGCCTGCCCCTGGGACGTGATGCTCAGGAGTGGGGCTGAGTGCTGCCCTGGAGCCTCCGCGCTCTCCTCTTTTCCCCACAGACCCTGCAAGGAAGGAAACTGCAGAAAGTTCCCCGGGACGGCGTGTCCCGCGTGCTACGCCGTGGGAAAGGGAGAAATCCCTGGGGCCATGTGGCTGGGAACAGGCTGTCCCCGGGGCCGTGGCGGGAGGCTGCTGCTCCTCGGGAGCCGCGGCTCAGCCGGACCCTGGAGCTTGCTGGAGCTCCCGCCAGTATGAGAGCCAGGCGTGCGGCCGTGGGAAGCCACTCGCCTCCAGCCTCCGTGCGGAGCGGGCTGAGCCCGGGAGGGCTGGGGGGAACTGGGCTGGGGCAGCGCTGCCTGATGGGTCCCGGCCACCATCATCCTCATCCTGTGATCCCGGCAGGGAGCCAGCGGCTCCTGCCCAGGGTTTGCTGCAGAAGCTGCCCCTTCCCCATGGGGCACGGCGGGCTTAAGCCAGCAGCAGCTCGCAGCTGGGGCTCTGTGGTGACCAGCTGATCCCAATGGCTGTGGGGTCACCGCTCGGGTGCCCCGGGAGCGCGAGCCCCCCCGCCTCCTGGCCCTGGGCCCTTTCCCATGTGATGTGTGTCTCTAAGTTATTTTTAACCTGCTGGCCTGAGCACGGAGCTTTCTGCCTTAAAGGTGCAGTTGTGCAGGGGATCTGGGGAGCTGTGTCCAACCTGGGCCACGCATCCTTGAGCCCTGTGGGTTTTGGGGAGGAATTAGCCTAGCAACGGCTGGTTTGGCGGATTATTCGTTTTATTACTTTGCACTAGTCGTCTCCTGCTGTGGGCTGAGGTGCTGGGGGGACACCAAAGAACCAACGGCTCTCATGAGAACAGTTGCCCCGACTTCCCCAGCCCGCTGATGCTATGAAAGGGGAGGTCCTGCTGTGCCTGAGGGATTGTGGGTCCTGCGTGACCGAGACACAAGCGTGGGATGTGGGCGCTGCCCTCAGTGCTGTTTCCTTTCCCCCCGACAGACTCAGTGTTGCATCTTGTTCAATAAAGTTGGAGGAGTGAAAAAGGTGATGTCTGGTGTGACTGTGCTTCACGCCGCTGCCTTGGGGAGGGTGGGTAAGGGTTTGGGGCCAAGGGAGAGGGAAGCTGCTGTCCCGTGGGTGGTGGGGTGAGCATGGGCACCCTCTGAGCTCCAGTTGTGCTGCTGGGTGCCACTCACCCACTGAAAGCACAACCCTCCCTGCGATAATCTCCTGTCCCCTTGAGCCCAGCTTCAGCCCAGGGGCTGTCACAGGGCCATCGTGGTACAGGCTCTGGGTGGCTCAAAGCAGAGCTCGGCCCTGCAGCCAGCATCTCTGTCCTGGCTCTGCTGCAGATAAACCCAACAGAGGCCGTGGAGCTGCTCGCAACTGCATAATAGGTGGAAGTGAGCCGCAGATAAAGGCACACAATGTGGCTGGGGCTGTTGTTTAGTTTCTCCAGCCAAGCCAGCCCAGGGCAGAGCCTGCTCTCTGCCGAGGGCCTCTTCAGTGAGGGTGGGACAGACTAAAAATACCCTGGAGAAAATGAAATATGGGTGATATGGGGCGATATCACTGCCATCGGCCACTGGAGGAAGCGGAGAGGGAGGCACCCGGCTGTGCTGCCCTTGGTGCAGAGTCTGGGCTGGCGGCCGAGTCTGCCCTCGGCTCCCTTCCCTGCGGGGGATGATGGGGGTAAAACCCCCTGGGGTGGGGGTCTGGGGCGCACACTACTAGCTCTCAGCCCTCCCCTGTGCCCTCCGTGAGGATACTGGGGCAGATCTCCTCTGGACGGACCCTGCCCTGCTCCCACTGCTGCCCAGTGGGGACCCCCTGGGGCATCCCAGTCCAATGGGAGACCCCAGCCCAGGGCTCACCAGGCATCAGCAGAGCTGCAAAGCCCCGCAGCTCTGCAGCTTTCTGGGGAGAGCAGCCCGGCACGCTCAGCCGGGAGGAAACGCCCGTGTGAAAGGTAACGGTGCAGCCGTGCCGCATGTTTACCCGCCGGCAGCGCTCCCCCACTCGCCTCCCCTCTCCTGGGCTGATATTTTTGTTGGCACTGGGGGAGCATCACGCTTTTCCGAACAGCCCTGCAAGGTGGAAAACAAGACGGCTGAGAGCCCCCTTGCCTGGACACGGTGCCCAGCCGCGGGTGCTGCGCAAACACGGCTCTGGTCCCGCTATTGTTCCCGTGTTGTGACAAGGTGGCTCGGGGCAGCCGGTGTGACCCCGCGCCACCGGGACCTGCCCGCAGCACAGGCCAACAACAACAGCGAGGGGCTCACCTGAGCAGCGGGGCCGGGGAGGGGGCGGCAGCGGGGGCCGGTGCTGGCAACAGCCCCCCAGAAGGCGGGAGGACGGCCCTTAGGCAAATAAAAGTTTGCAGCTGATAAGGGTGCAGGATGGCCTGGCGAAGCCCTTTTGGCACAGCCCGGGGACAGATAGCGGCCAGCCAGACACGCACGGCCTTTCTCACACCTCTGCGCTCCCTCCTGAGTAAACAGGCCCCTCCGGTCTTTTTCTGGGAACAGCACTCGCTGCTCCAACGCCCGGTGCCGTACCACGATGCTGAGCCCTGTGGTGGCACGGGCAGCCTGGGGGCTGCGGTGAGGGTCTTACCATGGGCACCCCTGAGACCCAGCTCTGGGTCCAGCTCCGGGATAACGGGCAGCAAGCACAGCCCCAGGTATGTGCTGTGATAAGCAGGCACCAGGACCCACCACAGCCGCCCAGCCAGGACGGCAGCAGCTCCCTGGGTACGGCCATGGGGTGGGAGCGCCGTGGGGCTGTTCCCGTGGCCACTCAGGGTGTGAGCCCCACGCCGGCATTGCCCTCAGCATGGGTTTGGGGGAGGGCAGCTTTTGTACCCCACCTGAGCACCCTGTGGGGTTTATCCCAACCCAAGGCTGGATGTACTTTCCAAGGCGCAGCTGCAGACCCCAGAACTAACTCGGCGAGCAAGAGCTGCCTGCCTGTGCTGTGCTGTGGCACAGGAGCCAGGCTGCCTTCCTCGGCAGGGTGCAGGCAGCACCATGGGGCTGCTCCTGCATCCTCAGCTCCTGGAAGAAAGCGAGTGCCCAGAGAAGGATGTGACGTGTCTGAAGGAGCAAAAGGAAGAGGGAGAGAGGTGGACAGATGGATGCGCACCTGACAGCCAACAGCCTGAGGCTGGACGTGCACAGGAGTGGGGTGTCCCTTGGGTGCATGGCCAGCACCACTGTGCACCCCCCCCCCCCCCCCGCTGCTCGCCAGCGGTTCGGGAGGATGCTGGGAGTGAGGGGGTGGCTGCTTGCAGCACCCCCTGAGTCAGGAAAGGCTTTGGGGCGGCTCTGCCAGCGCCTGCTGCCAGTCCTGGGACCCCAATCCCTGCTGGGGATGCTGGTCTAACACCAGCCACAGCCCCCAGGACCCTGGGCCAGTGACTCTGCTCCACGGCCACAGGTTTGCAGGGAGGTTCCTGCCCTCCCCCCAGTTAGGACCAGTCTGTACTGGGCTCCCCCTGCACTACCCTGCTCTGGGCTGGGGAAGAGGAGCAGTGAGGGCTGCTACAGTGTGTCGCGCCTGCAAGGCTCTGCCCAAGGCGCTGGCCGAGAACCACGGAGTGTATTTTTAAGTCTTCCCAGTGTACAGAAAATAGCAAGTGTCTAAATCCGACGCGCTAGCAGGAAGAGCCATGGCGAGAGCCAAATCACAGCTGAGAGAGGAGGAAGAGTAGAGGGCTGGGCAGGGGGATGCCAGCCAGGGCCACTGCATGGTCCCCTCATCCCGCTGGGGTCCTGTCTGTGCCCAGGGCTCTGCCCACAGCCCCCCATTTCCCGCAGCCCCTTTGTGGGAGTGGGCACAGGCAGGAGCATCCTCCTGGGCCAGGCACGGACTCGGAGCCCCGGCACCCCTGCCTGCAGCACCCACCAGCAAGGCAACACCAAACCCAGTACAATCCTGCCCTTATCAGCGCCACTGCCAACAGCGCACAATGAAGAAAAAGCAAGCTCCAAACAGCTCCCTTCCTCCCCAGCCCGTCTGCGGCGCGAGGTTATATTTAGCCCTCCACGCGCGGGCATGGCAGACAATGTGGCCCCATGTGAGAACCGTGGGCGGGAGGAAACGCGCTCAATAGCCCCGACGACTTCCCGCATCCTGACATTGTCGCTCCCCTCCGGCCGCTTCCTTGTGCGGAGGCAATGGGACCGCAGCGCTCGGCACCCCATGCCCACCCCAGTTTGGGTCCTGCCCCTGCCAGCGACTCAGGGAATCGTCTCGGTGCAGCACCAGGAGGGCAGAGGCTGCTGCCCTCATAGCTGGGGGGTTTTCTTGGCGTGGGGAGGTCGATGTTGCCTAAAAGCAAGGAGCCACAGTGGCCCTGGGGTACTGGCTGTTGGGATTCAGCCCTGAGCTGGGGTTGCAAGTAGAGGCGATGCCGAGTGGGAAGAGAACGTGTCCCAGTGTAGCTGTCCCTGGCCAGGGCTTGGGGATGTATCTCAGTGTAGAGCAGAGCTGCTCCTCTCGCACAGCATTTCAGGGCTTTTGCCAGCCGTAGAAAGGAGCCATCGCGCCCAGCAGGGCAGACCTGTGCCATGGGGCCACGGGGGGAAGAGGCGAGACGAGGCGGCTGGGAAAGGACTCGGCTGCGCTCGGGGAAAGGGCAAAACTAGAGCCTGGGAAAACAGCCTTGGCTGGCCGCGGCAGGGAGTGGGCGTCCCCAGGGGCTGCGGGGGACGTGCGGGGGGGATACGCCATTTGCTCTCCAGCGCAGCCCGGGTGCATGCATGTCTTGGGCGTCCTGGGGTGACTGCATTGCTCCAGGATGGGACACAGGAGTGTGAGTCTCTGTGGGCCCCAGGTCCCCCCCTCCAGCACCCCGCACTGCTCCTCTCTGTCCCAAAGCATCATTGCTCCGGGCCTTGAGGAAAGGACCGATGGCTCTGAGCAGCGCTTGTGCCAGCACAGGGACACAGCGTCCCCAGCCCCGCACAGCCGGTGCATCCCTGCTCTGAGCTAACCGGACGTCCGCTGCAGCCGTCCAGGTGTGCCGAGCTGTGCTGAGCCATGCTGAGCAGCCAGTGGGCCCTCCCCCACCCGTGCCTGCACAGCAGCTGGGGCGCAGCCTGGCCCCACCATGGCTCCGGCTCGCTCCCTGCATCCGGAATCCACCACCTGCTCCTCTCACAAGCTGTTGGCAATGGACCCCCCCCGGGAGCAAACCCAGCCCCGGGCAGGGCAGAGGGTCAGCCCAGGAGCTGCAGCCGCCCTCGGAGCCGGCAAGGAAGAAGCAAGGCAGCAGGGCCGTGCCAAGAGCACAGCAGCTGGCTCGCCTGGGGCACGGCCACCACGGGCTGGGCAGGGACAGGCAGCACTTCTGCAGCTGCCAGATTCGATCCCTGCTCTGTGGCACAGTGCAGCCGCAGCCGGCCCCGGCCACAGGGACTTCCCCAAAGCCGGACAAGCCCATTTTGCTCTCCTGCAAAACGTCAGCCTCCAGGCCAGGCGTGGGACTCCCTGCCTGGGGACAGGCTCCCCCCTTGTACAGCCCCGGATGCGCTGCTGGCACGGCTCCTTGGTACGCTCCCACTGCAGTGTCTGGCTGGGCTGTGCTGGGAACAGCTGGATTACAAATGTGCTAGACCAGAGCAAGGACTTGCGCTTGAGCAGTTGTGTGTAGGCTCGGGAAGCCAGTCTTTTGCCGTAATGGTTTATTCAACAAAGCTTCCTCTTGCTCTTCGTGAGCCACCGTGGCTGCGCACCCAGCCCCGAGTCCTTGCCGGCTCCTATTCTTGTCCAGCCGGCGCTTTCCAGGCAGCACATTGTTGGGATTCAATGGGAGGAAGGGTGGGTTTATGACACTGAGGGTTTAGGAGAAAGGCAACCAGTCTCCTGGAAGTGGCTTCACCCCTGCCCCAGTGCCTGCGGGGAACCACGGCCCCACAGCAATGCCGGCGTCTGCCATGGGGACGGATGGGAATCCCCAGACACACGGAAAGCAGCTGGAAACGCGGCGGGACCAGCAAGGCAGCTGCGGCAGGAGCAGGGCAGGGGCTGCCCGGCCAGGTGCCATCAGTGCCCGCACAGCCACTGTTGGGGCTCAGCCCTTCCCGAGGGCCGGAGCAGCCCCCCCGCTCGACACCGCGTGGGCCCAGGGGAGGAAACAAGGCAGCGAGGCCCCGACAAAGCCCGATTGTGCCCGGCCGGCCCTGGGAACAGGCAGATCAATGGGCTATAAACAGCCAAGGGAGCTGCTCCGTCACAGGGTGAACAAAGGCATTTCGGAAGACGTTTCCGAGCTGGGTTCGGCTGGTCCCGGCTGGGGGAAGGGACGGGACCTTTCCCACCCTGGCACACAATAGGGAACAGCTGTCACCCAGCATCGCCCTGCAGCCAGGCTGGGAAAGCAAGAGGTCAAGGGCAGGGGCCAGCTCAGGGGACAGTGCCAGCCTGCCAGGGGGACTGGGGCACTGGCAGGAGAGGTGCTGTGAGCCCTAGTGCAGGAGGCGGCAGTGGGGCAGGGCTGGGACAGACTTTGCATCGCGCCTAGACTCCTCCAGCACCTTCCAGCCCAGCCTTGGCTGCCCTTGCGCACCGCGATGGCAAAGACCTGTGAGTTCCTGGCAGTGCCGGGCCGTGAGCCCGGCCGGAGGGCAGCGATCCAGCCCAAGGACAGCAGGTTGGAAGGTAAACACAGCTGGGCAGCGCCAGCAGTAAAGCTGTCAGCGGGGCAGGAGCTGGCCCCGAGGAAGCGGGACGGAATGATGCGAAATGCTGAACTGGCTGCTGACCTCAGGGCTTTGCACCAGACACGACAGATTTATCGTCCCCGGGAGGGGAAGGCCGGGCTGGGGCAGCAGCGAGGCCTCGCTCAGGCACCAGGGGAAAAAACAAGGCAGGAGGCAGCGATAACCCCGGCTACGGCCCCGGCATGCTGCCGGCAGAGCATGGCAGCACGGTTACCAGCTGGCCCTGCTCGGGCCGCTCTTGCCGGGGTTTGGTCCTCCTGTGCCAATGATGCCGGAGGCTGGGGGGGACACCGGCCACTGGTCCCCAGTGCTCACTGCCAGCCTCTCCCGCCACACGCCGCCCTGCTCAGCAGCCCAGCAGGACCCCCCCCGTCCCCTGGGACCCCACCCAGCGCTGCCACAGCCCTTCTTGTCTAGATAAGGAGGTCGAAGGGAAGCAGATGACGTGGCTAGGGGAGCTGGGAGGGAGGCACAACCACAGCACGGGCTGGGATTGTGGTGCCTCCCCCTCCTTCCTGCCCGCCACCCTGTTGCCAGGCCCCAAGGTCGGTGCCCGGCCAGGGACAACACTGGCATTTCTCCCATTGTAGAAGGGGCTGCTTCTTGAAAACACCAAGAGCAGGCACATGCTCTGAGCCAGGGTTAGGGCCAGGTGCTGACGCAGAAGACACAGAGGCCCAAGGACTGACAGAAGTTTATTCTGGCTGTTCCCGTACAGGGCAGAGATCTCCCCATTCTCTACAGGCCAGCCAAAAGCCACCACCACGCTCGGAGCTCCATGACGGAAGCAGGGCCAGGACTTCCACCTCCCCCTTCCCCGCTGCGAAGCCTGGGAATGACGCAGAGAGGGGCTCCCCAGAGATCTCCACCACTGCTCAGGCTCCCGTGGGTGTAACGCGGTAGCGTGGTGCTGTGGTCGGGGTTCACAAAGAGCCACGGGAGAGCTGTACGCAGGATGGCAGGTCCTCCTGCCACAGGTGGTTAGCCTGACCCCGACACCATGTCACTCAGGTCCAAGTTTCTTCTATCTTCGCACCATGGAAGAAACCAAACCTAAAGAGACGTGGGTGGAACCAGGCTGAGAGGGTTTTGTGGTTCAGGGGCCAGGACAGACCGACAGCCGATGAGTTTCAGACACGGCCCACCTCCAAAGCATGGCTCCCTGCCTGCTCTGCCACAAAGGAGGTCCGGGTGCTGCGTCTGGAGTGCAAACCCTGACCCTGCGGAGGGCCCCGGGAGGGTGCCGAGCAGCAGTAGGCACCGCGTATTGCCCAGGTACGGCCTGCTGCAGGAGGGAGGCTGGTGGAAGACGTGCAGGTGACAGGGGAGTCCCCAGGGACACAGCCCTCCGGTAGGCGGCCCCAGCCCCGGGGACAGTCGCTCCAGGGCACCACATCTGCCCAAACAACTTTATTAACTCTTTTCCGGACGATTCCTGTTCAGCACGGCCCGAGGGGCGAACTCCAGCTTGTCCTTCAGGCTCACCACCTTGGTCAGGTCCTTGCCCGCGATCTCCTGCAGCTTGCGATCCTCCCGCTGCTCCGAGATGCTCTTCTCCTCCTCGGCCGTGGGCGGGGGGTCGCCGCGGAGGAACCACTCCAGGTGGTAGCCCACCAGCCCCACCACGAAGGCCACCGGGAAGGTGACGTACGGGGCCTTGGAGCGCACGGCGGCCCAGAGCACGGACCACATGGCGCCGGGGGCTGCGCCTGGCAGGGGGCGAAAGGCGGCGGTCACAAGCC